TTTTTTTTTGTAAAAGGTTTCACTTTATGCGAACATATGATTAGATAGCCAGTTACGTTTCGGATAATAACTGAAAAAAAAAACTATATATCCTGCAAGTGGTATTCAGAAAATAATGCGCAAAATTTAATTGTAACAGATGTGACCAAACATGGTACTGGTCCATCCTGGGAGCACGGGAATGACAATTTTGATTCTACCACGGAACAAACCTGTTAAACTGTAACCGTCGAAACTACCATGTGTGGTAGAAATTGTGCCTGTAGAAAAAATAATCAGGCAAACTATACTCTCGGGAGGTTAACTGTATAATTATTATATTTTCTAAACGCCGATTTTATTTGATTTATTTTTTGTTGCTATTTCGTACTTTTGTTTGAGTATTCGTAGCACCCCAAGCGCCGAAGGACAAGAACGCACTATGTAGACAAAAAAGGCCCCACTCTTTCCGTATGATCTCAGCCTCCGGTTTGCCTTTATGGAGACTCAAAATCAAATCAATTGAAGAAATAATAGTTATCGGAAGCTTTGACGGCCTTTGCTAGGAACACCATCATGGCCATTTAACGCTGAACCTTGGCAATTGTTTGTATTCTTTTTATTAAAAAGCATCCTGCCCTGAATGAACCCGCTCTCATTAATAACATATTAATTACGGCACGATTTGTTGACTCTACTAAGAAAAAGTTTTGGTATAAAAAATACTGGACGTTTGTTGTTTGAAATTACTAAGTTAACATTTCTGCATTATGCATTAACTCTTTCCTTTCACTTAAATTATTACATCTTGGAAAGTCCTAAGGGATTTCGATAAAAGGGCCATCCATCACCAGATTGGAAACGTGCTAAGGTAAAGGAAGCTAAAAGAATTGAGATACGCGGCCCGCTTTAGAATGTAATGAGCTTTACGGGAGCTAAATAATATTTTTAAAGATATCCGCCTCCCCCCCCCCCCCCCCCCCCCACCCTTTCAGTATTTCCAGTTCGTAGAATAATTAAAAGGCACTAGCAAATATCGCTCGGCAACTCTCGCTAGGTGAAGAGGGAACAATCCAATTAATTTTGGCACGAACAATAAAAATTAACGTAGAGTTGTAAAGAGAGTGGCTGCGAAATTGACCGGACTATGAACTTCTATGTAAATAATTTTGCGGGTAGACTTAGAACTACATACCCGGCTTAGGCTCGGCCGTTTGATCGGAAACATTTCACAAATGTGTTTGGAACCTAGAACTTTAACTAGAAAATAAAACTTAAATCAAGTGTTAGCTCTTTCGTCGGTTCAAGTATAAGGTCCTTAATACAGGCCCTTTGTACTCACCGTGCCTTCTGTAGGGTACCACTCTTTTGAGTGCATTTTTTGTTGCTAAATCGATTTTTGGCCTTGCGATAAGAGGACTCTGATAACCTAATTAGCCCGTTCGAGCAAATATAGCCAATGAGTTTCTGAAGCAGCTCGCCAAGCAGGCATATACACCGAAAATACATTATCGAGTGCCAAACTTCGTCGGTTAATTTTTTATTTGAAATATGTCAGTGTAACGTAAAATAAATAGAAATAATTTTCTTACCGATTTTATTCGAGCAGTTAAAAAAATGTCGCTGTATTTACACTTTTGTTGTTATTGCAGCGTACTTATATTCTGTCATTCTGAAGATGATCGTGGCTTTCGATAGACAAATTCACGGGATGATATTCCGGTGACTTAAGCATAGTGTGCAGTTCTTAATTGAGTGGTTCGAGACTCGGTGAAAAGCTACGAATTGGACATATTTCTCTGCAAAAAAGAAAGTGTCGAAGCAAAGGAAGAAAAAGTGTTCCTCTGACTTTTTCCTTCTATAACAGACTTCCTCCGTGAAATGAAGCACCGCTGACATCTTGAGGTTCAACTTACATCACCGCTAAATTGTGCAGCTTCCTACCCAGTATCAGTGACTAATGGAACACAAATAAAATCCAGGAAACAGAAAAAAAAGTAGAGCACAAGTTTTAATAAAAATAGCAATCGAGTGACGTGAACATACATTTGTCACCATCCTAAAAAATCTACGTCATCGCCCCTCCCCTACTTAAGAAATAAATTGATGGTGATCAGACTTAAAGTGCAGCAATTTCAATGAGGATACCTGCCCCCCCCCCCTACCCCCCTTGATGCTTATGTAATGTTCTCTTCTTCATTTTGGTACATTTATGTAGAGCGAGCTTACTGCGCAAGCATCTTCTCTCCTCCATTATTTCCTCGACTCTAGATAAGAGACACCACACGCAGACATTAGCATCACGAAGAATCACAAATTCGGTGTGTTCCAGAGACCTGTAGCGTTGTTTTTAGTCATACTAGTAGCTGAGTCTTGAAATTACACACTATATTACTTAATTTCACGACTTCTCTGCTGCGCCACAAAAGACGCATATGCGAGAGCATAGCTCGGCATAATAACGTTAATTTCTCGGAGAACTATACCGCAGAGAATGCACATAATAAATTCACGTGTTAGCGGCCATGCTTCCCAGGTATTGCTTAAAAGTTTTGAGATTGAATATAGAACGGTATATAAAGCAGTATACCATGTTTCCTTGGATCACCATACCAGCTTTAAATTGCCGTTGCTGTTGTGTTGATTTATAGGATATTGCATGCACAATATAATATGGCGTACATATTTGAAAATGAATTAGTCGACGTTGCGCTAACAGTTCAGCTCTGAAGAAGCTGCTTCTTAGCAAAACGTCGGTTGTCACTCTGAGGTTTCAGGATGCTCCATTTCAAGTCATTTCTAGAAGTTTTTACTAGTTAGTAGTTTACTGGGATCGCACACATGGGACAACTTCGGCTTAATGCCCAGTGAGAGTGGTTTCGAGTATGAATGATGAACAGAGGGGTTGAGTTTACCAGAAGTTAAAAACAACACACCAACAGGAACCCATATCGACTTTTTCTATTATTACTTTTGCATCTACTCCAGTAAATATGGCAGAACCTCGCATATGACGGGATTCGAAATACTAGGCTATTCATTTTCCTAAAATAAACATACATCAGCATATACGTCTCCCTTGTGTGCAGTAGTCTGAGCGCACATTTTGACTAGGTATTCCGTATGCCCTTTATCAATACTTAAGGATAATGTGGGTGGATACCATCTGGGAATATTTGAAGTAATGATGTGCGCTAAGTGCCTTCATAACACAACCTTTCATTTATAATAGAACATGTTGTCCCTGATGCAGGGGCAAAAATCGCTAATACATCCTGCCGGATTTTTGTTTCCTTTTTTTATTTTTTGTTGGTGCTGTTTGAATAGTAATCGAAATAACAGCATGGGAGTAAGCTGCTAACGGGGAGCCATTTTGGTTTTGCTAACATGCTCACCAATGTCCTCGTTTAATTTGACCAGGAACGAGAAGACGTTTTGAGAACGGTTTACGTTTTCTTCTTTCCCCCCTATTTAAATGAGATACCAGCAGTTACCTCGACTGCTCAAAGACCAGTATCTTTAAAGACAATCTTGTTATAATCATAACTAAAGCTTCAAATTAGAAAGTTGGTTGTATGTCTCCTCAAAAAAAAAAAATGCTCATGCAAAAAAAAAAAAAATATCCTTCAGTTTTTATTTTTTTTTTGTAAAAGACTTCAGTTTATGCGAATAGTTACGTTTTGAATAAAAACTGAACAAAAAACTCCATATCCTGTAAGTGATATTCAGAAAATAATGCGCAAAATTTAGTTGTAACAGATGTGACCAAGCATGGTAGTAGTTCAGTCTGCGAGCACGGGATTGACAATTTTGATGCTACCGCAGAACAAACCTGTTAAACAGTGACCGTCGATACTACCAGTGTGGTGGAAAGCGGGCCTGTAGAAGAATTAGTGAGACGAACTATACTCTCCGAAGCTTAGTTGTATATGTATTATTTTTTTAAACGCCAATTTTATTAGATTTCTTTTTTGCTTATTGTGATTTTCGTCTGAGTATTCACAGAACCGCAAGCTCCAAAAGACAAGAACTCAGTATGTAGACAAAAAAAAAAAAAAAGACGCCCACTCTTTTCGTATAATCTCAGTCTCCGGTTTTCCTTTAGGGAGCCTCAAAATCAAATCAATTGAAGAAATAATAGTGACCGGAAGCTTTGACGGCCTTTGCTAGGACCACCATCATGGTCATTCCACGCTGGACCATGGCGATTATTTGTATTACATTTTATTAAAAAGCACCCTGCCCTGAATGGACCCACTCTCAATAATAACATATTAATTATGACACGATTTGTTGACCGTACTTAGAAAAGGCTGTAGAATAAAAAAAAATATTAGACGTTTGTTCTTGGAATTATCAAATGAACATTTCCGCATTATCCATGAACTTTTTCCTTTCACTCAAATTATTATATCTTGGAAATCCTTAAGAAACTTAGATAAGAAGGGCTATCTATTACCAGATCGGAATAGTGCTAAGGTAAAGAAAGCTAAAAGAATTGAGGTACACGGCCCTCGTTAGAAAGTAATGAGCCGTACGCGAACTAAATAATATTAAAAAAAATAACCCCCTTTCAGTATTTCGAGAAGAGTTTAGTAACTACCTAATAAGGATTTAGTTTAACTGCGCGTATTTGTGTAAATAAGTCCTTATGGCGGGAAAGGAGTCATGTTGCTCCAAGTACAGAATGACCGCCTTTCAAAAGAGCGCGCCCTCTACTAGATGCTCCGCGAATTATACGTGTTTTTCATTACTTGGGCACGCACTCTTATCATGTATTAGACACGAGCGCTTCGTCTGCGTTCGGCCAGGTCTCGAATCCTATCACAAGCTTCGTGTCCAAGAAATGGCAACCACCTATGTTGCTTGGTCGTGTCTTGAAAAGGTTCCATTATCAACTCTAGAAGAAGTAAAAATATGCATAAAAATATATGACGATGATAATCCCCGACAAGGGGGACAAAGGACAAACACAAATCATCCAAATACAGTTAAGTGACTGGTGCACGACCGAAAAAACCCGCCCGGTCCTGGTATCGAACCAAGAACCTCTCCATTTCCAGTGGAGCGCTCTACCAACTGAGCTAACCAGGAGTTAGACGTCAGCAAAGCAAACGGGGTTTTGTCGGCTGCTACCAGTCTAACACCAGCAAGGGGAACGGCCTGCATTTTTATAGTAAGGATGATAATTCAATTGATGCATATGTGCGGCGAGCGGGAGAAGTAAACGTTTGGTACGCAAAGAGCGCCATACGTTTACTAAAGGCACCATCCAACCAGCGTGTGGCTGTGCAGGGAGCTTTCCCGTTCTCGTCTTGTGGCCTTGCCGAGCTGCTGCTTTTTCTGGGCATCGTGTCATGGTCTTATCGGCTCGCAGCCGCCGCTGCGAGTCGCGTTTCCGTCCGCGTCAGATTGCTGATTGGGAACTGGAGCACATGACGCCAGATACAGTGGCCGCGACTTAACGAAGCGGCATGTGACGGCACGCTCTTCGTTCCACGGAAAAAGAAACAAGCAGGATGCTTTAACGCCACCGCACCGAGCACTCCGAGCACTCATACTCGGATTTTCCTGACCGCCGAACGTCGCCATATTAAAATCAGAACTGCCAATATTTCGGTAAGGTAAAACTCCGCCGTCCAACTTTGTTTTAGATCATTACTTCGTGCGACGAGAAATTTAAGAATTAAATTAAATGTGCTTTAAGGCAAGGATAGTTCATTGCCCCACATTGAATAGTTCATTTTCATTTTAGCATGTATATCTGAGGTATTGTCATACATCAGATTTGTTAATTTACCTCAGCGTTGAGAACTGTTAATGGAAATCTTTAGATTTGCATCCACCTTGTTCTAGCTCGTACCATGTACATTTCAATGGCGGTTGTGATCTATTACGCGCAAATATAATCAACCTGATTTCTAAATTTTTAAATACTCGAGCAATACGTCGTCGGTAAGTCTTTAAAAAAATTGTTTTAATCAAAATTATATTAATGAGTACTGAAAAAAAAAAGAAATTGCCGTTTAGTAATTGAAGACAATCTGAGATCAAAAACGGTGCGCATCTTACCTGTTTGTTGAAGCATTACAAAACAGCGTTAATATAATGCTGTCGTTAGCGCTTTAATGAGCATGAGTTCCGCGATTGAACTATCCAAGTTCCGCTAACGTTTTGTGCGGAGTTTGACGAGCTTCAAAATTCAACTTTTTACTACATACCGGCACTCACCATAAAGAATTACCTCTAAGGTTGATATCGACTTCTTAGCGGTAGAATTCATCTCAAATCTGGCCGCACACAAAACTTACGTAATACACAATGGAGGGGGTAGTTCAGAACACACTTTGCAACCAGAATGACTCTGCTTTAGTATAAAAATAAAAAGAAGAATCATGCGTGAATAAATAAAACTTCAAAACCTCACAAATAGAAAACTTTACGCATAGCCGGATAACCTTACTTTTTTAACAAACGTAACTGATACACACAAAAACAACTGAAGAATCCCTGATAGATTACACACACGTACCCGACTGGCATGCGTTAACCATGATTTTCTCCGGATCCGCAATAAATGCACAACACGAGGTTCAGGTGGCGTACTTATAAATACGTTACGCAAAACTAATGTAATTCTATTGTCAGAGAAACAGGTTAAATGGCACAGCCAAGTTCTGTTTTGGCTGATGATTCAGCTCGCAATATCGACTGTGCGTCGTCGCACTTTGCAAGACTTGTTCGCTGATTCTTGAACTTCCTTCGATATAAATGTCATATGAAATGCCTGTGTGACAGGGGTATCACATTGCCTGCACTATCACAATTTAAACGGTGTTGATATTTTAAGCCATCCGAATGACTTTTGTCGACTGGTTTATGCTTTCTTGCGAGAAATCAGAGGCCAGATTCCCGAAACTATCTTGCGACAAAAAGTTCGTAAATATGCCTTACGACAAAGTTAAAAACTTTTGAGTGTTCCCCAAAGCAAAATGTTTGTAAATTTTACGTAAGTTACGACGAAATCCGTAACTTACGCAAAACTTACAAGCATTTTGCTTCGGGAACACTCAAAAGTTCGTAACTTTGTCTTAAGATAAATATACTAACTTTTTATCGCAAGAAAGTTTCGGGAATCTGGCATCTGACTCGTGGTAACAAAGACAAAAAAGTACGAAGCTCCTAAATAAATTGTGGGCATTGTGTCTCTCTACTTCGTTGAAGTCCAGACGGAGCCGACGCTACGAGCTGATGAGACCAATCTGACTGCGTCAAGAGTGCACCATGATGGTGTTGTGTTTCTGTACGCGTTCTAACATCGCTGAACCAATGATAAACAAAAAAAGCTTTAGTGACTTGCGCTTTTGACTATGCTTGTTCGGTCCCATTAGCGTAGCATGGGCTGCGTCTGTATTTAAGGTGAAACGAAGTACGGTAGCTATCGAAGTCCCAAGTCCCTGAATAAGAGTAGCTATTACCTTCGCAGTGCTGACTAGACTCTCATCTGCAGGTTTTAGAAAATCAAAACAAAGAACATGGCAACAAAAAAAAAAAAACCGAAACTTTTTTTTTTTTTTACAAAATGTTTTTTTTTTTTTTTTTGTGTTAAACTTTTTTGTGAACGGTGATTCACACCGTTAGAGGGCAACCGAAAGTAGGTAAAGAAGTCTATATTCGTGGCGACAGTTTTTGGTCCTAACGACAATCGATAATATTAGCTACTCAGAGTTTCGCTCGGGTCAGCTCTTCAGCTAACATATAATAGGCATCGAAATATGGCAGAGTCAAGATAACCATCACCGCACAGACATTGGTTAGCCTTCTGTAGATTTGTACTTATTCTCATCGAAATGTGGAAAAAGCCGTCCTGGTAAGAGATTTTTTTACGCTTCAAATTTGAGGAAAAAAAAAAAAAAAAAAAAACTAATAAATTGAGTTAAAAACGTTCAGCGGTTTTTTTACTATTTTTTTTTTTAACTTCCCGGGACTGAACCAACATGAAGCAGTACACCAGAATTCGACCTCGGGGAAACCGCTTCCCTTTCAACGGATTCGATTCATGGAGAGAAAGTTATATCGTGGCTTTTAAGAAGACTCGCAGTATGCCGATTTCATTTCGTTGTAACCGGATATCGACATTCTAAAAAGATTGAATTTTTTTATCACGTAAAAATAAAATTTAATCAAAATCTTTTCCAAAAGTGGCTTCTGGTCGCTACCGTTTGGTGCGTGCTGTGCTTGCCTGCCGAAATGAAGTTCGAGCTTTCTAGTCTGTGATTTTAGCACCCAGAACCATTACATGGTTTGCTCGTGACGTAACTTCTAGGGAAAGTAAGTTTTAATCTGCCATTTTACATACAGAGTGTTTAATTTTATTTTGAACAAAGATATTCGAAAACAAAAATACGGAAAAAGTTTGAGTAATGCTCTCTTTTCAGATGAATTATGCGGCAAGGGGGACATTACATAGGGGAAAAATCGTTCCGATATGCCACACAATTTACTAAAACTCCTTCATTACCTTTTTAGTTAGTGAAAATAATTGTACGGTTATCCGCGTTTTCGGATCGCCAAGTTAGGCCTGTTGCACGAGTAGAAAGCGTCTTCAAAGTCTTCTAAAACTGACTGATTTAATGATCCTAGATTACGCTCAGCGAGTATCTAATTGTAATCATGTGTTTATTTTCATTAATGAAAACGTTAGTTAAAAGTTTTGAGTTAAACATTTGACTGATGGTGAGAATTATTCCTCTCTATTGTGTCCTCCGAGCCGTATACGCCGCTCACCCGTTCAGACCGCACAAATCTACTTTTTACGGCTTTTGTTTAAATAAATCTGTTTGAATTCATTGTACTTTATTATTTGTTTTATTTACAAATACTGCTAACCTGCTTTTGAAAGTTCTAGCAGAAGGGATTTCTGCATTTTGCTGTACACTAGCTTACACGGCAAAGGAAATATAAGATGTAGTCAATACGCAATGATAATATAGAAATTCAACAGACAGCAAAACAAAACACTAAAATTTTCACTGACAGCCTTTCAATGTTTTTAAAAATACTACTACTGATGACGAGTTCACCTGTACTTCTCAAACATTGTTCAGTTCTTCGATTGTTTGTGGGAATAGAGTATATTTAAAAGGGGGGGGGGGGGGGGAGTCAGTACGACAAAGAAACGGAACCAACGCTTTACTGTGCAAGTTTCAAGATCCTAATGCCACGGACGAGTCGTGCCGTTAAATATCTTGAACGATCAACGTTAAAATCGCAGTTCAGCAGTGTGTAAAAACATAAGCCTCCCTTTATGGCTTTTTGAGGATAGGAACTCTTTCTCGTACTTTCTCGTGTAGTGACGTCACACCTAGATTCGTTTATTTTGAATTTGTTGTAAATGAATCGCAATGCGTACCTCTGCACTCTTTCTAATTTGTGAATATCTACAGCCGCATCAGAGTCCCTTACCTGGGAGGCATATCCAAGAACAGGTGAAACGAAGGGTTTGCAAGGAGTGACTTTTTTATCAAACGAAGAAAGCCTAACATTGCGTTTCAGATAAAAACGTTTAGCGTGAGTTTACCGAACAGTGGAATCGATGTGTACGTTTCATTTTAGATATGAATAAAATTGCATTCCAAGATATTTGTACGTAGAAACAATTTGTAGAGGGTTGTTATTAACATGGCACTGGAAACTAAGTGGGGAATGTTTTTTTTTCTTTTTGGAAAAAGTGATTTGTGCACATTTTCGTATATAAAGGGGCAAGTTGAAAACCACTTGGACATTCTTTCTGGCGAAAAGTTAAGTAACTGTTAACGTTTAATATTTTTACTTTTCTTTCTAAAAGAAAAACGATTATCAGCATAAAATATCATATATACACCTACAACATCCTGAACATCATTGATAAACATAAGAAATAACAGCTGTCCCAAGAGAAAGCCTTGGGGGTTATCTGACAAAGCACCAGCTAAAAAAAAAACAAGCACTGCCCAGTGAAACGAAACAAAATTGCGAGAAGCCAAGTAATCTTCAAGCCAAGACGTGATGTTTCGATTATTTAAGATATGTGCGAGTTTTAACGATAGATTTGG